CCCCAAAACCCCAAAACCCCAAAACCCCAAAACCCCTTAATTTGTTATGAAAATTGAATTTTAAATAATATGTCTGACAAACTCTCAGAAGAATTAGATAAACCTGAAGTCACCCAGACAGAGCAAGAGACTGAAGAGGTCAAAGAGTTCGATGTTGAAGCGCTATGAAAGGAATTTGACCACAAGAGTAGGACCACATTTTCATGCTCCTTTTGGGCAATTTAGAGTAAACTTAGACAGTAGATAGCATGCTTGTTGATGTCTCATAAGGGCATTTTACAGCAAATTCGGCTAATTTAGGAGGATTTCAGGCAATATTTCGCATCGATAGCAATTTAACCAGCAATTGAAGTCTAACCCTCCCATAGTAAAAGTCTCAAATGACAAAATAATCGATCTGAATTATAAACTTGATGAGATGAATCAGCTCAATGAATGGGAAAAGTCTCGCTACGATGAGCTCAAGAAGAAGACAGATGCAAGCCTGGCAGCCAAGGATGCTAAGATAGAGCAGCTTGAGGACAGGTACTCGGACCTTGAAACCCAGATTCTCAACACTTCGCAGTTCATTGAGAATGAAGATTTGCAGCCTCTTCAGGATGAAATTTCAAAACTGCAAGTGCTTTTGAGGGAGGAAAAGGCAGAATCTAAAAGTTTATTGACCAAATTGGAGAAGACCAATGCTGTCTATACCCAAAAAGTCAGTTTTTATGAGACTCAGCTTGAGGAGACCAAGATCAAGGCTCAAGACAGCCAGAAAGCATACGACAGCTTGATGGAGTCAGTCAAGAAACTTGAGGAGAAGAATGATAGGTTCAGTTTCCATGAGCTGATCCAGAAGCAGAGGAAGGATCAAATCCAAGAGCTTAAGGTGATTGAGTCGAAGTACCAGGAGACTAACCAGAGTCTTATGAACAAGATCGATGCCCTTACGGAGCAGAACAACAAGCTCGAGCTTGATCTTAAAGTCTCTGTGACTGAGTTGCAGAGGGAGAACAACAGCCTCTCCTCATTTGTTGAGGAGTTGCAGACCCAAAAAGCCAAGCTTGCTAGTGACTACAAAGCTCTGGAAAACGAAAAGCTTGATTTGGTGAAATCTATCGAGTCTCATTACAAAGACACTATCAGGAAGTTAGAAGACCAGCTGAGCGAGGAGAGCCAGAAGAGCCAGGCTGATATGGAACATACTATCCTTGAGAACCAAAAGCAGCTTGAACAACTCAAGATGTTCTACGAAGAAGAGAAACTCCGGATTGAAAACAAGATCAAGCAAGAGAAAGCCTCCTCCGAACGGAAGCTGGATACTCTCAGAGAAGACTTTGAGATCAAACTTCGTGAAGAGGAGGAAGTCAGAGAGGAGGAGTTCTACAAGCAGATTGAGGAAGAACGCGAGCAATTCATTGACAAGATCCAGTCATTGGAGAATGCACTCGGAGCAGCCAGCACTTCTAGCTCGGAGACCCTTTCCAAGCACATTGCACTATTAGAGAAAGATAGGATTGAGTTCAAGGAGAACCTTGAAAATGAATTTAAGAAAAGGAAAGAGGACCTTGAGGATGAACGCAAGAACTTCAAAACCAGGCAGGCAACTCTAAACGGGGAAATTGACAAGCTCAACTCCACAATAGAGAACCTCAAGGATGACCTTATGAAGCAAAAATTGGAATACACCAGGGAAGAAGCCATCATTAATCAGAAGTTGGTCTTCAAAGATGAGAAGATCACTGAATTGCACAAAACAATCAAGGAGAACTCTCAAGAGTACCAAGAGAGGCTTGATGCTCTCAGATCTGAGCTTTACGGTGAATCCCAGCAGAAAATTACCAAGCTGAAGGATGAAAATCAGAGACTTATCGAGAAGCTTGAGGACAAGGCTGCCACACTGAAAAACCTCGAGTCAGAAATCACCCGGCTTAAAGGTGAGCAAGAGAAGGAGACCCTCATTTCAGGCCAGAAGATCTCTTCGCTCGAGAGCAAACTGAGCATGCTCAAAGAGAAGTACGAAAAAGAGATTGAAGGTATGAACTTTGAGAGCCAGAACACCATTGAGCAACTAGATAGTGAGGTGCAACAACTTGTCAAGGAAAATGAAGATCTGAAGGCCCAGCTCATAGATTTTGAGAGAGACTATAGTGAGCTACATAGTAATTACGAAAGAGATAAAGCCTTGTGGGATGACAGGTGAGAGTTCCTCGAAAATCAGAAGAACCAGGCTAAGCGGGACCTCCAAGATGCGCACCAAAAGTTTGAGATGACAGTAGAGCAACTGCAGCGGAAGGACTCTTCAGAGAGAGGTAAGTGGCTTTTCAGCCTGACTGAATACCTTCTTTAACTTCTGTTTAGGGAAGACAGAGAGTGCCCAGTTGATTCTGATAAACAACATTGAGAAAAAGTACAAGGAGCAGATCAAGGACATCAACGAGTCACATGCATCCACTATTTCGGATTGGAGTTCTCGCTACAAGAGTTTGGAGAAGGAATACAAGGAGCTGAGTCAGAAGTACCAGATAGAGTCTCGAGGAAAGATCTCGGAGTATTCTTCGATGGAGTCCAAGATCCGGGACTTGCTCGAGTCCGAGCAGTACTATCAGGAGGAGAATAAATAAGCTCAAGTCTCAGCTTGACAAGCGGTGCCTGGAGACCCAGATGCTGCTTGAAAAGGAGAAAGTCAATTACAAGCAGAATCTAGAAATCCTTGAGAAGAAATACAAGGACTCAGAGTCCAAGAGAAGCCTTCAGATATTCGAAGTTGAGAAGGAGAGAGCCAAGTGGGCCCTCGAGAAGGACAACATCAAGCATGAATATGACTTACTCAAGGACAAGAACAGGAAGGTAAGTCTGGCATCACCCTGTAGTTGGCCAGTAAGAAGGAAAGACTAGAAAAGGAGTTAATGAAGATCAAAACTGATTTTAGAGAACACCGCAAGATCATACATAGTGGGGGAATTAGCTCCTCTGCAGCTGCCAAGGAGTTTGCTAGTGAGAAAGTCAAGACTATGAGCAGTGTAGACTCTTCGTTGAGTAGCAGCTACAAGCCTTCTAGTAGGACCTATAAGAAGCCAAAATATTCTACCAAAAATTATATTGGCGATAAGTAGAAGTAACAGTGGTTCAATAGTTGGCATCATAGTTGGGGTTTTGGGGTTTTGGGGTTTTGGGGTTTTGGGGTTTTGGGG